TTTATGACGTTTTGAACAATTTTCCGTTTATGAATTAGAACTTTATTCGTTGTTGTTGTGTTGTTACTTTTTCGTCCTTTGTTGTATTAGAAAACAACAAGTCATAAGCTCCTTTATATTTAATCAAATCAATTTTAATTGGAACTTTACAAAATTAAATTAATTGTCTTGATATTTACTCGTCATCGTATTTACTAAAGGGAATTTCAGTGTATAATGAAAAACACCATCATTATAATTAAACATTTCTTCAACAAAGTTTTCAAGTTCTGGTACTTCACATGTTGAATTTTAAGACTTAATTTTAATTAAATGTTTAATTGTTGGTGAATCATTTAATGAATTTGGTGTTATAAAAAATTGTATTAGAGAAATGTTCTTAATTTTGGTAATATTTTTTTGTCGATGCAATTTGATTACACATTTCTTCATGTTGCAATTTACTTTGTACTGTGTCTTTTATATTTTCAGGTGAATTCTGAGGCATACCAAATGCTGATGGAATGATTAAGAACATAGAAGAACTATATTTGAACGCAGAAGGCGTGTTAAAATTAATTGGTACAATATTACTTGCCGAAGATGTCATTTCGAATGAGGAAACTGTTGGATTGTTTGGTGGTAAAGTTTTTATACGTAAAAAGTAAGTGGACACAATGTTGTGTTTGTTATTTGTAACATTGGAATAATTTCAATATGTGTAGATATGTTTAAATTCGATTTGTTTATATTGGTTAAATAATTTGTGTTCATTAAATAATTGTTCAATAACAAATTTAAAAAGTCGAGTCGTTTTCTGTGAATTGGATTGCTTTTCTGGAGCAGTGTCTGTGTAATACAGTCTTGTTTGATATTTTATTGTCGATAGTAAGTGTTGGATGTTTATAAGAGGGGTCTATAAATGCTAAAGCATCTTCTTTATTATACACAATGACAGTAGACTTATGGCATTTATAATTGTTTTTCACTCCGCGTGTTTGTCACTTTTTACATAACCTGTTTTTCAAAAGTCTGTACCGAAGTGACCCCAAAATTTGTTTTATTTTGAGTATTATTTTTGGGAAACGAATTTTTTGTTATAAATTTTGATTATTTTTCCGAGTAAAATAAAAAAGGTCTTCAAAATAATTTTTTACTTGAAGAATTTTTAAGCATAAGAAACTTCCATATAAAACATAAAATAATGGTATTTTTGTTTTATAAAAACACACAAATGATCCCATAGGTGCATTTTTTAAAAAGAAATGATAATTATTATATGTCAAAACCTTCAGAGTCAACCCTTTATTTATCAGAAAAAGAAAAAAATGGCAAGAGCAAAAGCGTTTCTCGAAGAAAATTATTCTTACCGTGCCGTCGCAAAAATAGTTGGAATTTCAAAAACCATAGTATCTGAATTAAAAAGAGGGGGAGAGGCAAAACTGAAGAAATTTGGTCGATTAAAAAAGTGTCTAGAGAACATATTCAATTTGTAGTAAAACAGACAATTGATTCAATTCCAAAAAGATTTAAATTAAACATCGAGAATCAAGTAAAATTTATAGTATATTTGCTTTAATTTATTATTTTTTGGTTTTTAGAATTCAAAATTTTATTATTATTTGTATTGAAAGAGAAACCTCGAGTTTGTTTTTTGTTTGAAATAAAAATTTAACCAAATTAATTTTTAGTATTTTGACATTAATGATTCGGATTAATTCATTGAGATGTATGTTGTTGTGTTATTAGCACAACTATACTGTGTGTGTTGTCTAGTAGAATATCTAATTATTGTCCAACCAAATAACGGGATCGGGTTTTTTGGAAAAGGCTGGTTAATATTTCAATAAAGTCCCGATATCGTCCGAAAATAATCGAAAGGTATTGGTATTTTTTAAATTAAGTCTGTACTTTCGATTTTTTTTTGTTTTAGAGAAAAATAAAAAATAAAAAACGGGATTTAAGGAAGTTCTAAAAATACTGCGTTTCAGACTTTTGAACTACAGTTTATTTTGTTGGATTCATTTGAAATTTGTACAAAATATATCACAATCATTTTTTTAAAATAATTTAAAAAAGTGTTAATTTTAATTAAGAATAAATGTTGTAATAATTATGACTATTGTCAAATATGATATTAGGTGCTCTAAAATTGTTTTATTAAACCATGTCTTATTTAAACAACAAATAAGTTAAAAATTGATTGATTACACGACAAAAACATTTCAACATAATAACTGAGTTAATAATCAATTTTATCAATATAAAAAAATGATAATATTTTGAACTCTTAATAATATAATAGTTGCAAATTCAACAACAAATGATAAGAAGTTGATAGACAACGACGTTAATACATACAAGATAAATTAAAAAACAAGAATTTCAAATTATTTAAAATATAGGTAGGCCACAGAGCCGTTACTGGCAACAAAGGGGTTACCGAACCAAAAAGTTGTTTTTTTATATTGAAAAAAATTTCTTTCATTTTTTCTTTCATCTTTTAGGTTTTTTTCTTGAAAAGTGGTAGATAAAGTATTTTTTTCTGCCCGAGCTGGTTTTTGTTGGCAAAGAAAAAAAGAAAGAATTTTTTTCAAATCATAACCTAAATTGGTAAGAATTTTGTCTTTTATTGGTTGAACAAAAGCATTATTTAATTAATTTTCAATAATATTTTTTACTAAAAACAATAATTATTTTTACAATTGTCAAACCATGTTTTTTTTAAAAAAAACTTCCAGATTCAGTTGGCAAAACGTGATATTTTTTACCAACAATGAATAGTTTTCAAAAATAATGTAAATAAAGACCAACAGAAAATTGTCGTACAGCAAGAAAATAATCGTACACTTATGATTTTAGTATCAAACAAACCAAAAAATAGGGAATGTTTTTTCACATATTAAATTTGACTAAACAATCAGGAAAAAAATTGGGTTTAAAAAATAAAAACCCGACTTTATACAGAAAAATACCATAAAACAATGTGTATGACTATTTTCTGCTGTACGACAGTTTTCTGGTGCTCTTTAAGCCAAAATTTAATACCCAAATTAACGGGAAATTCATTTTAATGAGTAAAAAATAACACAAATAATCAACTTTTTCCTGATGATATTTGAATGGTTCTCAAGCCTCAAAAAACAATACATCAAATAAAAAAGCATTATTTTTGATACATGTCGGCAAGCGAAAAAATTATCTTCGAGAGAAGTATATAACTTATTATTGTGTGTGCGTGGGATAATCCAGATTTTGATAAAAAGTTCGTGTATATTTCTGAAACAACAAATTGGACAGGCAGGAAAACGTCCGTTATAAATTATAGTCAATAAAAGTCGTTTATGTGCTTTTAGATGTGTTGACAGCGGGGTGTACTTCAAGGGTGTCCTTGAAGATGTTTGTTTAAGAAAGCGTGATGGGGTGAAATAAAAGAGTTTTTAAAATCATCTTTTTGTTGTCGATAGACTTCTAAGAAATTTTATAACAACATTGATTATTTTTTTAAAATGTATACAAAATGTTTTTGGTCCTCAAAAAGAATTGTAGTGGTTTGGAAATATTTGAATGACATTTTTTATAAATAATAGTAAAAACAATAATTTAAAATGTCTTTAAAAATTTATCAGAAAATAAAAATTAAAATACCTTCAATTAACAAATATTTTTTTCCGATTAATTTTTAACTCAAAAGTGAAAAAAAATTCATTCGAAATCCATTCATGAAACCCAAGTATCAAACCCAACTAAAACCGCCAGAGTTCAAAGCGGCAGTTATGTGCAATGCCGACCGACTCAAAGGGAGGCTCGAGAACGAGCACGAAATTTTTGCAAGATTCAAAGCCTTGGAAGAAGAAGTGAATCAACAACAATTTGTGAGAGAACAAGTGGAGATCATGCTGTCTGAGTTCTATGATCTCCCATTTATTCACAAAGGGTGGATTGAAGATTTTAACGTGTTCATGGGAGGAGGGAGAATTGCAGGGTCATAATTGAGAAAGATATTCAGTATTTTAAAAACAAGGTAACATTCCTATCTTGAATCTCTACGAGAGGAATGCTCTCAATGCTTTCATATCTAAGGGACAATAAGAGAGAAAGTTTGTAACTCATCATTAATATTTTCTAAATAAAAACAAAAAATTTAATTGTAATTAATAAAAAATATTTTTTTGGAATCAAATTTTAACCATTTTTGTCAAAATATTTCAAATAAAAAATTAAGATATGGTATTATTTTTAAAATAAAATAATAATAGTCATAATGAAAAACCCTCAAACTACAATTTAAAGTATAAAGAACAAAAAAGATCAAAAGTCAACACGGCTCAACACGGCTTTATCGAGCCCACTTTCATTTCTTATATTACATTACAACAAACCCATATATTGCTTATAATTTGATTTATTTTTCGTTGTTTTTAAATTTATATTTATTTTAATTATAAACCAAAAATAAAAAAGAAGTTTTTTTATTTTTAGAACACACTTTTTTAATCTTGGCATATTTTCATTTTGGTAAAACCGTTTCAAAAATTTATCAATACCCATAGAAATCTTCCAAATTGTTCTGTAACACCTCTGTCGCCGGGAATGGCTCTGTGGCCTACCTATACCGACTTTATCAAATATTTGTATGATATAAACAAATTTAAAGATTGTTTATATTTGCTTTAAAATAATCTTTGTTTTTCTTGTGATTATATATAAACTAGTGTGTATTTTACATATTTATTGTTTTTTGTTTCAGAATTTTAAAATTATACACAACAATTATTTTTGCTGTTCAAAAAAACATGAAATGACAAAATAAAATTTGATTTTTTATTAGTTTATTGACTAAATAAAAGACCAAAAATGTATTACTTGAAAAAGTGTAGAAAAAACGGCTGGAGCTAAAAAATCTTTCAAGGTAAAATTTTACGGACATCAAGCAAAGCCTAATCAAAATATATAATATTAAAAGTTTGTTTTACACATGTCGATAATAAATATATACCCAAAAATGGATTAGCAATTATTTAAAGCAAACATGCAATAAATAAAGCAAGCATAGCAAATACCTCAAACTCACCTTCCGAATACATAGTGTAGAATCTATTATTTGATAAACATTTTTCAAGTTCAACTGGTTCATATTCTTTAATTGCAGTTCCTGAGCAATCTTTTGTGTTGTAAACATTATAAGACACTTTTCCATCCGCCTTACTGGCCTTTTCCGAAGATGAATCCCCCGTTTGTGTACATTCAGAATATGGGTATTCAATAGGATTTGCGTCTTTTTCACTGAATATACAATCTTTGGCATCCTTGTATTCATAAAACATGTAATAATACTCCGGTAAATCATCTTGTACCACTGCATTTGCGCCTTTTGGAATAACTTCATCTTTAATCCAATTACTGCATGTGGACGATTTGTATGATTGTATATTATCTCCTTCTTCAACATATTTATAATAAGTATTATCTCCATCGTAATAGCATTGTCCGTCTTTATATATAGTAACAGAATAACCAGTAGTACTAATTAAATATTTAGCAGAAGCAATTGCCAGTAGTAATGAGAACATTTGAAATTAAAAGTTATAAAATGCTTATATATTAATGTAAATAAACAATAACATCTATAAAGTGTGTAATTCGACAATTTTAATAATTGTCGAATTGTTAAAATTGTTAAAATTGTTAAAATTTGTGTAGTGATTGTGTGTAATATAAATTAAAAATATAATTAAATTAACATATTTAATATAATTATTGCAATTGAAACCTTTAAAAATAAAATACAATAGGGGAAAATAAGGGGATGCTAGAAAAATGATGTTCGCTTCTTTTGGTTATTTTTAAAACAAAAAATGATATGTACAAAAATGAATATTCTTAATACTTCTAAAGGTTTGATTGATTTAATGTTTTTTATTTTTATAACCAAAAGTATAAAACCACAACATTTTTTGTTGAATAATCGACTGTTCATATTTAGGACGGAAGTATTTTCAAGGTATTTTGTAAATTGTTTATTTTAAAATAATCAACACTTTTTTGTAAATTTATTTTATAAAACAAAAAAATATAAAATATTATACTAATTAAAATAATTTATTTTTTTAATTACTTTGATATAAACAAATAAAATAATAGTTAAATATAGTGTAATTGGGATTGTAAAGTAGTAAAATCAGTAAAAATAATGATAAAACACAACCAATAAACAAAAGATGTAATAAAGTTGTTGTATAGTTACTGGAAAATTATATTTACTATAAATTAATGAAATATAACAAATTTCAAAAAGGATTATTGATAAACATTGAAACGTTTTGTTTCATTATTATTAATTTAACGGTTTTAATCATAATTGGTAAAATAATAGTTTAATCAACATTAAAAAAGAATTACGTGGTTAAAAAGGCGACTTGTTGTCTATTTTTATCACTATGATATCAATTGTGTTTGAACCTAATGAATGATCTTGATTGTTTATTCGATGTCTTTACCTGAACGAAGATGTTTTTACAAATCATACGAACAAAAAAATTGAAACAAAAAATGATGAAACCACTTGCTTTTGACTTGACTAAAGTTCAACCACCCCTTAAAATTAATCAATTTTTAACATCCATTTTTTTAAACCGGAGTCCGATTTAAAAACCATTTCTTTTAAAATTTTTCATGAACAGGTGGCCTTTTGTTATGACAGCGTTTCCGAACAACAACAAAAAGATTTTCAAAACAAAAAAAAAATGTTCCTTTATAACTTTTCTCGAAAAATGGTTTGGTACAATTAAAAAACATAGCGTTCAAACGTTAATGTTAGCCATAAAACATAAACGTGTTACTGGTGTTGTGCTTGTTAAAGGAAGAAAGAGAGATTTAACCAACGACCAATTCAGAGAAATAAAGGGACTTGTTGTCGGAAAAAGTAATAAAACCCGTAGAATTGGGTTTTTATTTAGAAAAAAGTTTGAAATAAATTTTGAAACACAAAACTTGCACAAAAACGAGTAAAATTAAAGGTATTAAGAAGGTGATTGCCCAAAAAATGGAAGCGGAAAAGGCAAGGGTTGATTCTCATGAAGTTAAAAAATGGATGACTAGTTTAAAGGTAAAAATTGACGGAAAAAAAGCCGAACTCATCTTTAACCTTGGTAGAATTAGGTTTTCTGATTGGGTGGATTCGAAGTCAAAAATGGTGTATGCTTCGATACAAACCGGTTCTGCTGTCTACAACGACGTAGAAATATCTGACAAAAGAATCAGCATGCTTTGTTGTTTTTGCCTTGATGGCACACAACTGCAACCACTTGTTATAACAACGAGAGTGTCAATCGATGACACTTTGGTTGCCTCCATCAAAAGTTGAGCTTTGGTCTGTTCTCGATTAAGTGGCTTTCTTAATGCCTGTCTTTTCAAAAAGTGGGTTTACGAGATCTTAGTTCCGTCCATTAAATCGAAGAAAGAAAAATTGGGATTAAGAATAGATACAAAGTCTTTCTTAATTATTAATGGATTTTCAGGACATTTCAATGAAGAAGTCACTTGTTTGTTTTCACAAAATTACATTGATGTTATTCCTCTTGTTCCCCACACATCTCACTTTACACAGCCTTTGGATTTGGGAAATTTTGGGATTCAAAACAGATTTCTACAAAACAAAAACAATTTGTTGGGATCTTTTTAAATCAAAGAAAAGAAACTTTTCAAAAATTCAAAAATGATCTTTTTATTTGCAATGATGATTTATAAAAAAATTTTAAAATTTATGAGATTAGATGAAAAAGAATTAATTTAATCCATTCATGGAGTAGTATATAAATCGTGCCGATTTCGGACACTTTTTTGAAATCCTCAATTTTCACAATTTTGTCGCTTCGCTCCGTCTTTTAGGTTTAAATATTTTTGGGTTATTTTTTATTAGTTATTTTAAAGTGATAATTTTAATTTTTTTCTTTTTAAATGACCACTACTCAAAAATACTTGAAAAAGCATTTTCACAAATTTACTAATACTTATTCCAAGAAGAAATTTTGGATTGTTTTAGGATTAAAAATTAAATTATTTAATTAGCATATACTAATATTTTAAATAAAGAATGCAGAAAAGAATTATTGAATATGAGTATCGAATCTAGAAATGTTTATTTTGAACTTAGAAGAAAATTAGATACTTAAATTAAAAATTATCAAAAAACAATTGTAAAATTAGAGCAACCATTTTTGAGAATAGTATTTGATAAAATAAATAAAACTGATAAACAAACTTTTGGATTGATTAATAAAAAAGCCTCAACAATTAAAGTTATTGACGATGCAAAAATTCAAAAAAACTTAATAAAAAGAATTTAGAATGGAGTTTAAAACATAATACTGAAATAGACGATGAAGCAATATCTCATAAACATTACAATTATGTTAATGAACAACTTAAGAATGAAAGAGAAAACGAATACATGATTAATAATTATGATAATATAAAAAATAATTTAGAATGGAATTTAAATAAAAATATTGAACAAAAATATGAAGATGAAAACAGAGATCAAATTTATGATGAATATCAATTATACAAACTATTAATAAATGATAATGGATATAAAACTAAATATAAAACAATAGGCGTAACATATGACATAGATAACAATAAAATTCATGATGATTTTAATTGTAAATTTGAAGAGAAATTAAGACGAATTAATATGATTAGACAGTTCTTTAATCATTTAATTGAAAAACTAGATTCAACAGCAAATTTAGTTTATAAATTTAGATTTGCTGATACTACTTGGAAGACATATATGTTAAATTCTAAAGAAAATATAGATGAATTTCTTAAATCAATATCAAACGAAACTCTTGGATTATATAATCAATCCGAAATTGAAAACAGTTCAGATTCTGCATTTTATGTTCAACATGAAGTTCCAGAACCTTTATTTATTACAGAATTAATAATTGAAGAATATGATTATAAAACGAAATTAATGAATATCAAAATAATGGTGCTGCATTCTTTTCTTATCATTATACAGAAGAATTTAAATGTTTCTCTAAATATTTAAAAATAGCACAAATACTTGATTCTCTTAGTGTTGAAAATGGAAAGATAAGATCAGAATTAAATAATAATTGTTTAATATATGCTTTTCAACAAACTAAAATAGATGAGAAAATTATTGATTTATATAGTGTTCATTGTTGTTCAAGATATCAGAAAATTAAATTGATAAATAAAGTTTCAAAATCATGTAATATTAGAATTCAAATAAAACGTGAAGAATTAAAGCGTAAAGATCATGCTAATACAATAATGAAATATATAGGATCAGATAATGAAGAAGCTACTGAAATTAGTATGTATTTATTCAGAGATGTTAATATAAAGGGTGATCATTATTTCTTAGATGTTGATATTCCTATTACTCCATTTTATCTTAAGAATAGAGTTGAAATGAATAAATGGGCATTAGATCACAAGAAACCAATTGAATCTATGTTTAATAAACAAAAAAGGAAAGGAAATTCATATTTAATCAATCCAGGAGCTAAATCCAATATAAATATATGAACTTATTTTTATATTAGAGATAACAATGGTTTTAAACCATATTCACTTAGTGATGTGCTTCATCTACCATCTGATTTATCTGATTATGTTAAACAATCAATCGAATCATTAGATTATCTAGATTTCGAAGTTGAACCAATAACAATGGAAAAAACCACGGAACTAGATAAAAAATTTAAGTCCAAAAACTATATTTACTATTATGCACATTTCGAAGCTAGCACACAAGGAATTCATAACGCATATTGTGTTGCTTATTCTAAACGAAATTCATTTCAAATTTCATGTAAATACGGAAACGAATGTGTAGAAGACTTCTTATCTGATTTAGATAACATCAGTTGTTTACTTTCATAATTTGAAATATGATTCGTGTTTCTTAGCAAAATATGGAATTGAGACATGTATTAAGAAAGATGGAAAAATATGAAAATGAAACTAAATTATCACGAAAAAAGAATTGTTTTGAAAGATAGTTATTCAATGTTTTTAAATAAGTTATCAGATTTTCCTAAAATGTTTGATTTATCTAATATTCAAAAAGAATTATATCCTTATAATTACTACAACGTAGATATAATTCAAAATAAGGTTGGAATAAATTCAGAAGCTGGTGAAAATGAATCTCAAAAATGGAATAAAGAACAATATGAATTATTTAAAGAGAATATATCCAAAATCAATAATTGTTTGGTGGATAAAGACAAGTTCTATATGAGATTATATTGTATATTCTCCTGTTGTCAAGACGTTAGAATATTTAAATAAAATCATATTAAATTCCGAAATAATAATTTGAAAAGTTTAAATATAGATGTTGACAACTTTATTAGTATATCTGCTTTAGCTAATCACTATTTCAAATTACATGTTTACACACAAATTCCAAACTTAATGCAATATTCTGGGAAAGTTAGAGAATTTATATAGGGTGCAGTATATGGAAGTAGAAATATGTGTAGAGATAATATTAAACAACATGTTACTAAAGATTCAAATGATTATGACTCATGTTCATTATATCCTATCGCTATACATATGCTAAAACTAGCATCTGGAAAACCTATATTTATCCCACAAGAAACCTGTAATAAAACTATATTAAATCACTTAATGTTAGAACAACAATTAGAACCAACAAATGAACGTTATATATCAGCATTTATTGTAGATATAGAAATAACCAAAGTTAACAAACATTTACATTTTCCAATTATAACTAAGAAAGATAAAAAAGGTAATCATAATGTTAATGAATGTTGTACAATGAGAGTAGATAATATTATGCTTGAAGATATGATTAACTTTCAACAAATAGAGTTTAATATTATTAGAAAATATTATTGGACTGGATGTAAATCTAATATGTTTTGTAACGAGATTGAAAAGATAAACAATTTAAGATTTAAACTTAAAAAAGAAGGTAATCCGTTACAAAATAATTATAAATTATTGATGAATAGTTCATATGGAAAAACGATTCAAAAACCAATTAAAATTTAATTGGTTTACAAATATATCAATAATAAAGGAAAATGCGATTCAAATAGATATCTTAAAAAGAACTTTACATTAGTTAAATCTATGTATTACATATCAGATAATATCAGATGTTATGAAACAAATAAACCATTTGATGACTTCTATGTTCCAAATCTTAAAAGGTGTACAAATATTAAGTATGAGTAAAATAACAATGAATAAAGTCGAATAATTAAATGAAGATTTAAATTTTGATATATATTATCAAGACACTGATAGTATGCATATATACAAATATAAGATCGAACTATTAAAAAAATATAAAAAGAAATATATGGTAAAACATTAAGAGGAGGTGAATTAAAACAATTCCATCCAGATTTTGATGAATTATCTGGAGATGTATATTCAAAAGAATCTTTTTTCTTTGGAAAGAAAGCTTATATTGATGTATTAACAAACCAGAATAAAGAACACTCTTTACATCTAAAATTAAAAGTAATTCTAAA